TGTGAATTTTACTTAAAATTATGAGGAATGTTACTGCATCGCCAAAGTTTAAAGATTTTCCAAATCTTAGTAATTTTCAAGTATTTCATAAGACGTCTTAATGTCTTTGAATCAATTTCCTAGTTTCATCGTTTGCAGAGTGCTGCTCGAGCCAATGTGTGCCATGCGGTTTCGGAAAATTGGTCGGAAAATCTCTTCAAAAGTTTCAAAAGAAGCTTCCAAAGATCATTTGGTGTCTTAAAAAATCGTAAATCTCTTGAAGTGTCTCGTTTCTAAACTTCATAATGCATATCTTAATCACTTATATTGGTTTCGTGGCAATATTTTACTTTTCCTTTTTTCTTTTCGAAATATTCCTTTTGATCGAGCTAATTGATGTGAATTGGAATTGGATAAATTTAATTTTGGAATATTTGAAGACCAGAGAAATTTTATAGTATTTCTCTGAAGTTTCACAATCATCCACAATTCCATAATTTGGCGTATAACTGAGAATTGTAATGTCCAAAACTTTTAGATCATAAAATGTTTAGTCAGTTTACTAATTGGAGTGAAGTGTTTATTTTATAACAAATAATAATACTAATGTTGCTTTATGTAAAACCAAAGTATTATCCTGCTCTCTTTCTAATCATTTATCTAATATTTTGATGTGAAATTCATTTTCAACAGATAGTAATCATGTCGTATAGCTTGAAAAGACATAAGTGAAAAGTCATTGCTTTAGAATGAATTCTTTCCTAATGAAACTCTCATGATTGTTGAATTGATTTATTGGCTTAGAATTCAGGTTTTTCTGTTGCCTAGTCATTTAAATATTCAAAAGTAATCGTACTACGTACTCCTTTGGAAAACAGTAATATTTATACTGTGTATAAGTGCGAATACTGTAGTTACAAATGTACTCATTTCTAAATTATCACTGTAACTCAAATAATAAAGTTATTCCAACTTCAATTTTAATTTTTGGATGCAAAATTAGCACATAAAGGAAGAAGCTCTGGGTCAGAGTTTCAGGTCTGCTCATTAACTTTAACTTTCATGGGAGATGAAGATAAGCATATACTGAAAGACTTTAACATTGATTGCTGAAAGACCGAAAACAATCATCAGGCATTCAGCTTTTTTATGGTGATTGTAACTCTAATGATTACTTGGCCGCTATCCTGCACTTAGCTGCGATAAGCATTTTGAAGTTTTACTGAGATGAAATTACAGGGAAAATCAGATTTCGCATGCGTTACGTAAAATCGACTTTTTTTTTATATTTTGAAAAAGTGATTACTGAAAAGCGCTGGCATCGATCATGGAGCGTAACTCATGTACAATGTTATCCTTCATCAAGTCGTTTGCAATAGTGGCAAGGTGTCGCTTTGGATCGAAATGACCAACTTTTTTTGTTTCACTTTCAGCTTTCGACTTCCCTGCTTTACTTTCCGTTCCTTTTGACTTTCCCGTTTTAATTTCCGTTCCTTTTAATTCCTCCGTTTCACTTCCTGTTCTTTTTTCATTGTGTTGCTTTTTCGACAGTGCGCATAATTCCTGGTTTTATGGAAGAAAAGTAATGTTGTATTAGATACAAACTGATTTCAATTCAATCTAAGAATATGAACAGGATGATTAATTTTTCTCACAAGGATTTCTTAGAAGATTGAGCTTCAATTAAACATACAGGAAAGTTAAAGTCCTCATTACTAACTTCATATAGACTTTTTCCTTTTTCTTCAGGTTTTTCAAAGTTTAATTTCAAAAAGATTTCAAACTGATGAAGTCAGGGGATCTAAGACTTATTAACCATAGGAGAATTTCACAATGGAATGAAAGTTCATAAGGTTTAAATAGTTCGGACTTAGGTTTTTCTAAGAATTCTGATTAACAAGAACGATACACTGTCGTTCACCACAACAAACGATAAGTTCATTTACAAGGCCTAAGCTTAATTTTTTGTTGGTCCTCGGTACTTGACACTTGCACTGCTAAGTTCTCCACAGAATTTGTTGATCTCTCAGTCAATCGTAAATCCATTTAACTGCAGTAAATGGAATCGAATAGTTCTTGTGATACGAACGCTACATCAACTTTTCCGCTTTTTTCATAGCTATTCAACTCTATTCCAATTTTTCTTTTTAATAAAGTTAGATTAACATGAACTTGAGATGAAATTCACATTACTTTATTGTAAAGTTTGATTATTTTAACCATTTCTTGCATATTTGCCAAATTGTTTTTGGCTGCACTCTTGAAACTATTTAATTGTAATCCTTCCGCCCAATTTTTCATATGTAAACTTTGCAGCATTTGTTGTTCCTTAACTGTTAGCTTGAAGCTTATCGTTATTGAATAATAGCTAAAATTTTAAAAAAGCCGAAACTTTTTTCAGCACTGAATAGTTCAGCAAAAGAGTGTAATGATTTAATATTGTCGGTGAAATTTAAAAAGTAAGAGCTATGTGCGAAATAAGATATATCATAATCGAAAGAGCTTTTTGAGTTAAATTGTTTTTTTTTTTTAAAACAAATCCGTAAAACTTTAAAAAAAAATTGAACTTTGGTTTTAAGCTGATAAAAAAAAAAGAATCGCTAACGAAAAACCTTTTGCCGAGTCCATGGAGTTGGTCAATGATGGAATGTTTCACCATATGTCCTAAGTTAGAAGTGGTTTGTCGTGATTCTTGGGTAGGTGCAAGTGTCCTTTGGGTACCTTCCAAAAAACTAAATTCCAAAGCATTTGGTCCAACAGTACGAAATGCATCGATGACTACCTGAAAATAATAGTTGGGATATGGTCAATCTTAACAGTATTTTTCAGTGATTCAGTAATACAAAAAGATGCTTACCTTTCCTTTGACCGATTGTATTGGATCGATAACAAGAGCAACGGCACGATCACTGAGCGCTTCAAAACTTCGTTGTGTGGCAATATCAACACCGGATAACCAACAACCAAATCCGGGATGTGAATGATACCAACCAACAACCATTTCAGTTCGTCCCGTGCGATTAAGCATGTCTAGCATTTTGGTTTGATATACCGGATCGACCGCTTCCACAGATACACCCTAAAATTTACTAATTACTGAAGAAAATTGATGTACAGTGTATAATGATTATTGAAAGGCTCTTTTTTTTGAAGTCATTCGCAATTTTTTTCCTAATTTCTCTTTTTTTTTCTTGATTTAGTTGATAAAACCTTCCATACAGTATAAAAGCAATTGGAAGTGGAAGCAAAGAAAGCTACAACCGTTTCAATAGTAAATTTAGGATGTAGAGAAGTAGGAAATCATTCCTCGTCTTTCTAAAATTCTTAAAATTTTCATACTTTATCCTTGCTGAACTGATTCCTCCCTCCGTTCCTACTGCTCCGGTCTCCACCTTACTTCTCTTCTACAGTTTTTTTTAAAAAAGATTTTACTCCATACTGTTCCGGATTGTGGCATAGCAAATACATCAACAACGTTGATCGTAAAATCATCGACAAATTCGCCTAGCATTAAACCCATTACCTGCCATAATTACAATTAATAGTAATTATCAAGCTAAGTATTGCAGAGTTAATCATATGAATCAATTACTACATTGAAGCCCGTTAAAATTTGAAATGAGGTGAAGTGTTTGATGAAGATTGAAGATATAAACTGGGATCTTTCTATAACCAATCAGTTGTATTATCATTAAAAGGTTTAGCCTTATCATACTTTCTGTTCTTGTCACTTCTCCTTCTGTAGAATCTTAATCAACTGACATTAAGTACCATTCAATAATATATGACTACTACCATTGGTTTATACAATAATCATAGTTTCACTAATTCCATTGTATCTTTAAAACTTCTCATTTGATGAGGATTTTAATTATTTGTCTGATAACAAGTCGAAGGATCTTACGTTATTTCTCTTTTATCATTTATCATTATCCCTAAGTGATGAACTTGATAATTGATAGTACTGATAAAAATTTGTAGAACATCTTAGAGTTACTTAAAATGGCAGTAATGTTACTACCTCCATAGGAACACCAGCCCGACCATGTCGAAGCATTTTAAGAAGAGCAAGTGACGAGACGTACAGGATTTCACCAGTATCTGGATATTTCAACACATCCTGCGGCGCTGTTTTCGGCAACTGCAACACATACGGTTGACATCAATTAATATCACGACAATAATTTATTTTACTTCATTACTTTATAATTACTTTTTACTTCACTCCAAAATTTCCAAACTTATATTATTGAATGAGGGAAAGTTCAACGTGACAAGTCAGAATATGTTTGTAGCTTCTGTTACCATCTAACAATGTAATGTAAAATCACACATAATGTAATGGGAAATGTTTAGGCCAAACTAAAGTAGAGGATGACTTTAACAACAATATACTCTTAACTTGCGATGACTTAAGTATGATATTGCGATGAATTCTGACAATACGATTGTATAATATGAGCTCGATATATTTTTAACGTTAAGTTTATGGCCTAATTACTGGATATAATTCTATAAAGAGTTAAAGCCACACGTGTATGACTGTACTACATCCGTTTCAGTAGAGTTTTGGATCGTTGAAACTGCATGAGATATTGTAACATACACCGTTAAAACCAGTTAAGCGAAGCAACCGTTCCATAACAATTAGATAAATTGATTTGGTTTGCATTTATAATTTGAAAATAATTTATAATTTCTATCACTACAGTTTTCAAATCTCAACTCAAAGCTCAAAAAATTCGAAACCCCAATTACTTTCATTTATGCGCCAAATGTCCTGAACAAAGGAAACAGTTAAAAAATTTCATTTCGTACACATATGCGTGAATAGTGCACGCTGATAGCATGGTTTGAGGAATAGGTTCAGGAATGGTAATTTTTTCTGTAGCTTGTGCTGAGGTTTTTTACCGGATTGTACTCCTGATAAATTGTAACCGGTATAAGCTCGATCATTTCCAGAATGCTTCTCTATTGCAATTCTTCACCGTTTGTTGAAGTTCATATTTTTCTTAGATTATTTCAACGATGTGTTAAATGAATCTTTCATTTTATTTAATTGTGATTATATAGACATATATTATACGTTAATATATTCTACGGTATAAAGCACAACGTATATTAAACATAACTGCATTTTATGCGTTATGTAAGCGATGCCTTCTTTAATAGTTATGGCGCGTAATTATGTCGTTTCTTGATAGTCTCTCCAATGAATCTTCTATAAAATTTCAATTTTAGTCAGAGATTTATTGAATAATTGTGGATGTTTTATTAGTTGTCATATGCGACGGCGGATGGATACAACGCCTGTCACGTTCGAAGCTTTTGCGAAAGCATATGAATGTATCCTGGAATGTGTTGAGGATGAATTTGATAAGCGGAAGAGACGCTTAACAGCTGACGATCTCAAACGTGTTGTTATAATCCATAAAACACTGACCAATCGCGGTTTACATCTTTCTCGAATAGGGTATCTTAAATTTTTCTGGAAAATACGTAATTTTTCTGGGAAATACGTTATTTTTGTTAAGAAAAGTGAAAAACCATAATTCACATTCCTGAATTTTCCAGTTTAAGAAAGTTACATTTCGGCCGATTTTGTGTAAAGATACCTAAAAATGTGACCGTATTGAAAATTCGGTTTTTAGGGACAGCATATTAACCGAAATAGTTGATTCATTGTTATACGAATGGGAAGAATCAGCGCCACCATCGGTGACAGTGCAGCAGCTTGTTTCACTTCTCTCCAAACCTATTATTAAGGTGACTGCATCAGTTAATTTTATGACAATTGAAATTTTATCTAATCAGTAACATTTTGCCTTTGTGAAATGTAAACATGCAATCCGATCTCGAACTTCGTTACATCTGACATACCTTTTTCGAACTGTATTTTTTCATTTCTGACCAATTACCTTGACCAGATATGATTAAATGGTCAGAATTCTTTTGTCGCTGTTACTGTTTACAATTTTAGAGCTTATTCTCCGTATATGATATTACTTCAAACCGCACCTATTTGCCTGAATTACCAGAAATACCGTATGAAGTTGATGACGATGATGGTATTGCTGTTAAAGTAGTTCGATTGGTAAAAGGTAATGAAGCACTTGGTGCTACCATAAAATGTGATACTGATGGACGTGTGTATATTGCCCGTGTTATAGCTGGAGGAGTGGCTGATCGTAGCGGCAATATTCAGGTAAAATTTTTTTTCTTTTATTTAGGAATAGATATTGTTATTTAATTTGATTTAAAAGTCGTTGTTAGCTTAGACGGTGTCATTTTTTATTTTTGTCTTCTCTAGTCATGTTTTTGGTTATCTCACAGATTACACACAACATACTGAATTTACACACAATATATTGAAGGGTTTGAATTGTTTGTACTGTATCTGTCACTGTTAATAATGTACCAGCTGCTCTGTAGTCGACACTCTATTGGTATAGTAAAATGAAAATTGTTTTAATTTCATAATATCAAATACGTTTGAACATCATAGATTATCAAATGGTTCTGTGTTTACATTTTCCATATGAGGGATGGTTTTATTAGCAAAGGAACTATCAGCAAAAAATTATGATTGATGAAATTGTATAAGTTATCGTAATTTATATTGTTTTTTCGGAGAACTTATATTCTCACCGTTTTTAAACTTTTCAGGTTGGAGATCGTGTTTTGGAAGTGAACAATGTTTGTGTTACGGGCATGAGCCCAAATGAAATCGTCAAATTGTTGGGTAACGAAAACAATGAAAACAGTACCGTCACTTTCAAATTAGAACCCGCTGAAATACCTGCAACTACTGCGTGGAATGAATCACGATACGTTCGTGCTTTGGTATGTTCATATTTAAATTCATTTACTTTATTGTAGGAAATGACGACCTTTAAGTATTGTTAACCCTTTTGCTAGGAATGTGTCAGTAATAAATGACTTTAAAAGCATTGTTAACACTTATCGTTAATTCCCGGTTAGGGTTGGAAGATGTAAGACATTTAGTGTATTCCAACATAAGGTTCTAAATGATATACCAAATACTTTGAATACAACTTTTAATTACAGATCGACTATTCTGGTAGTCGAGATTCCTTACATCCATGTCCGGAAGCAGCTCTTTGTTTCACCCGAGGAGAAATATTGGAGCTAGTGGTAACAGGAGATGAACATTGGTGGCAAGCACGTTCACTCGGACATGGCTCATTTGCGACACTACCATTGGCATCTGCTGGTTTGATTCATCATATATTCATCATATATTACAAAGTTTTTTCTTTTTTTCTTTTCGAAACAACTTTCTGTCATTATTTGTGGCATCCTCGAAATTTCTATATACTATTTGTCAAGAAAATTTATACAGTATTTATTAATCTATTAAGCAAAATAAATGAGTGATTTACTGTTTCAGCAAATCAACTGATGAAACGAGTGGGTCTCATTCCGTCGGAAGAATTGCAACAAAAACATAGAACTCTAAGGGAAAATGAAAAGTTTAGGAATGGGAATCGGAAGTCTTCGAAAACTGGCAATGAGGTTTTTTCTTGTTCTCACTAAAAGCTGCAAATATTAATATTTTTTTATTTTTACTAATACGTCGAATAATCTTACCTTATCATAAATTCAACTGACAAAGCCTTCATGTTCTTTTTTCTTTGAACTTACATAATGTTATGTAAACAATCAAGTATTGGGATTTCAATCGACAGATTTATTGCTTTCTCAAAGTTAACATTTTCCGCTGTTTTTACTGCAGATTATTTCTCTTTTATACGTGTGGTTTCCAGCCAAACTTTATTTCAGTTATTTTAGATTCAAATTGACAGCTTATTATACGAATCGGTATCACTGCTTTACCCGAAACAGTCTCTTATTCGGCCTATCGTTTTAATTGGACCTCCGGGTGTTGGACGTAACGAATTGAAAAAGCGACTAATTGCCGTCAACAGTGATCGTTATGCAACAAGTGTACCCCATACCAGTCGTCCTCAACGGTATATTCTTTTTTATTACAGAGAGTTTCGTCGTGAAAGTTTTCTTGACGGTCCATTGACAACATTTAAGAGACACCAAAAAAACTCCGTGAAAGTCGCTTAACTAAACTGAACAGTGTTTCAAACACCAAAAGTGAGTTGGCCTGAACCATTACTTTAATTTGCTTTTGATTCGTTCTTGATCGTCTTTGTTTCATGTTTCCGATTACAGACTCGCTATAGCTATCATTCATTGCAGTGAAAATTTGAGGGAATGATTAGTTAATATTGCTTCACTCATTTTTATTTCGAATTGAGTGAGAAGGACTATGAAGAGAACAGAAATTAGTAACAGACACTACTAATTAAGAAATCCATGAAACGAAACGACCAACAATCAACAATAGGTTGCAGTTCATATGAAAAAGATGGTGTTGATTACCATTTCGCAACACGTGATAGTATGGAACAGTGGATAAGACAAGGACGATTCTTAGAATACGGAGAATATAAAGGAAATTTATATGGTACACTTGCTGATTCGGTTCACGCTGTTATCAAGCAAGGTACAACGTTAATTGAAGAAGAATTCATATTTTTATCAGAAGTGGAAAAGACATCAAAAGAAACGTTATCATTATATTATTGCTTTAGTTCATTTGCAGGTCGCATACCTGTACTGAATACTCATCCTTTGGCATTACGGGTTTTGCGTTCCAAAGTGTTCAAATCCTTCGTTATTTTTGTTAAACCACCACCATTTGATATTTTAAAGGTATTTAACAGCAGGGATTCATTATTTTTGATCAATTTTTATTTGGATTTGCTCATGACGCTTCGCAACATGATTACTGTACAACAAATAGCTAGTCAGTTTTGCCTATAATGCTTAAGCTTTCGTAAAACTATGAGATTTATTTTCATTAACTTACACATCACTTGTCTTAAAAAATGTTATAGGTATTGAATTTACTGCATACCTTTTTCTAGGAAACTCGACGTCAGCATCGTGCACGAAATTTCCAAGCTACAGATCCTAGTCATCGTGGTGGTATTAGTAAATTAACACCGGTAGCAGTTCGTGGATTTACAGATTCGGAATTTGAACAAATGATCTCAGCTGGTGAACAGCTTTTCCAAATCTACGGACATATATTTGATCATGTGCTGACAAATGCTAATTTTGAAGCTTCGTTTGAACAATTACGAAACGTAGTGAATAGATTAGAGCATGAGCCAGCATGGGTACCCTCCGATTGGGTCGATCAATGAAATGATAAATTGCAGTGATATGTTGCTACATCTTGCCAATTTGTAACGTACGGAGTTCTTTTTTCTTTTCATTATTGTTTATGGAATTTAGTTTTTAAATTTGAGATTCTTTCCAAAAATTTCGGGCTTTTGTGGTCTGCAATTTGGTCGCATACTAACGCCATAACGATGGCATAACTTCGGTTCTCAATTGCAAGTTTTGTCTTTCTGGAAGTTTTGGATGCCTTATATTATGGAGGCAGTGTATTTTAACCAGCAGGTCAGCCACGTTTTTCTTTCTGATATGCTGTGGTATGTTTTTATAACTATGACAGTGAATAATGTACTCATCAGATTAAGTACCATTAATAATATACTGTAGGTCAAAGCGAGGCAAGTGTTAGGGTTTTACAATTAATCCTTAGGATTTTCCGGTATTAAAGAATTAAATCAATTCACTACCGGTTTTATTATTGCTTTTTATAGCTGCTTCTTATCCTTTCATTTTTTTTTTTCTTGGTTCCAATTTTATGTTTTGTGAATGTCTGCCTGTTCGCATATGTCAAGTGTTCTGTTGTTTTGACGTTCATTCCATTTTCATTCCATTTTGTACTTGTCTTAAAGAAGACTGTTATCAAAAAATTTCATTTTAAAATAATTTTAGCCTTACCCTATTTTATTGTCATAAAAAGATTTGCAATCAATTCAAAACAATTAATTTTATGAGTGGAAGAGCGAAGAAAAATTCGAATAGAAGGATATAATATACAAAGCGTGTTCCGATTTATCCATACTTTAAAAAACTATTTTCGCAAAGAAGTTAACGTCTAACAACATCTTTGCTGTGACCATGGTAATTTTTGGCTGCAACTTATGTCTTTTGCTTGCTGATGACTGCCGAACGTCACATATTATTGTAGATCGTCGAGAAAAAGTGTGACCAAGTAAAAATGCCTAATGTGCGTTAAAAGGTTTTGAATGGGAAAAAGAAGATCCTCTTTGTTGCTTTAATTTGTATTGTATTGTCTTTTAGACTTAATTTGATTGATTATTACTTTTTTCTTTCTTTCAGGAAATAATATTTCATGTGTAATTTGGTGCTGTTTTTGTTGTTGCAGCAGGTTATTTTTCTTGCCATTAAAATTTGAAATGATAATGTCGACTTATTTTTCGCATTTGGGAAAAGTGAGCTAAAGTTAGCATTAAAAGAGGATTGTAATTCGTATCTAATACCTGTTTTTGGAACTCATTTCAAATTAGGGATGAAAATATTTCGACCCACTCGAAATCTTTTCGTTTCTATGTGAATGAATTATCATGAGTATGTTGTGGGTGAAAGATAGGTATTTGTCTCATTAAGTTTTAAAAATTTCCAGTTTGATTTAATGGTTCAGTTATTGAGTATCCAAAGCAGTGGTCTTCAAAAACACTCATATATTTATAGTACGTTTTGTTAGTGGCACTGCTACTTACCAGATATTGTCGAGCACCATCTGAGCGACGTTTAACAGTATCGATTCTCTCTACTTCGTAATCTTAAATCATTGGTTGGTATATGAACTTGTAATGTGAGACAGTTTTTTAAGGTCTAGAATATCAAATTTCCTTTGATTCTCTAGCTGAATAATCAATGATTTGTTTAAAAGGAAAAGTTGCATTATTTACATTAATTAGCATTCCAATGCCTGCGTAATGACACCCGTCACTTTATTTCAAGCAATTTGAATATATCCCGGTGTCCTCATCCATTGTCTCTTTTCTCATTGATGTCACCCAAATCAACTCTATGGGATAATATCAACTTCGACCTTATAGGGAAGTGTTGCACGGTACAGAAATCTTGCGAGTACATTTTATGAACATAAGAATACATATCGATGAATACAGTACTATAATTTAATTTACAAACGAAATCCACTATCAAAGCTTACAAAGTATGAAAGATCATTTGTCGCCGATTTTCTTCAACCGTGACAAAAACTGAGGGTTCTTCCTGCATCTTTAGTTGGCAGTGCCTCAAACTTGGGTAATTAAATCTTTAGTCCTATGAGTTGGCTAATACAAACGAATTCAACAATTCAATAACGAATTCAATAATTATAATATCAATATGAACGAAAAGGGGACCAAAGACCAAATGACATCCGTTATTGTCTTTCCAACCGACCTGTTGGAACACGTCTTTCGAAAATGATTTGGCTCTCAGCACCTTTTTCTTGCTCGAATAGGGCAGATCCTGGGATAATTCTGAGGTCAATTTGAGATCACAGGAATTATTATTATAGAATATAAAACATTGGATGTACAATATTAGTTTACATTGCACAGTGTATCTATACATACAATAACTAATACCAACAGTATCAAAGCAATTATTGATTCACTGCTTCTTTTCGCGATTTCAGCGACATCATTGAATATTGCTTCATTCTTCCCTAACTGATAACATTGGAAGCCTAGAGATTGGAGTTACCATCGTTGTTATCGGTGCTATGGTCGTGCCATTTTAAGAAATAGCAATCGAGCAAGGATACGTTTAAAAGCTGTTCGAAAATCATTAGAAAATACGGTATAGATAATCGGATTAAGTGCTGAATTCAAATAACCTATAATTTGAATTAAATATAAATTTTAGTAGACATATATTTTATCGTTTAACAAGTTAATACTTATAATTAATAAGATCAAAATTTCTATTATCCCTAATACTAACCTAACCAATTAGTAATTGATTCCACCAATATTGGTATTTCGCAACGACATATCGGTCGATAAAGAGAAATGAGAAAAAATGGTGTCCAACATGCTACAAATGTTCCAGTAATAATAGCAAGTGTACGCCATGCTTTATGTTCACGTTTCATTTCAGCATTCTCTTTAATGCATCCTTTTCGTTTCCTTATTGAAACATTCATTTTTTTCTTTCCATTTTTACCATTCACTACAAATTTTATCATATGATACTTTTTTTTATTTCAATTTAATTTAAATTTATATAAAATTTTAATTTTATGAGAAATTAAAATGGAAAAATGATTAATAATGGATTAAATAATAGGTTAATTATAAAAATGTTTATTTCTTTTCTATATCAATTCCATTTTTTCAATCCATTTTATTTATCAGATAAAATTTAACAAATTTTCTCTTGATAACTTGATTGCATAATTTGACATATTCTACAATCGTCCTCATCGTTAAAAAATATTTAACCTAAAAGATACAGTAGTAAATGAATGAATGAACTTAGTTGTAAATTGCATTGATCCAAAGGAGTTTCAACTGTATCACATGGCAATTCTTCTTCAATTGTTGATTTAGTACTGATTGGAATCTTTTCATTTTCATTAATCGTACTTGAATTTGACTATAATATATTATAATATTAAATGTTATGATAAATTATTGTTTCCAATTCTCTTGTTTATTTAATTTATGCAAAACATGTAAAATTTATTCATTTCTTAAATCATACTACCTTTTCAGTAACTATCGATCGATCACTATCATTACTTATATTAATTATTAATTGTATCATTTTTTGTTTTAACTATCATGCAACATGCAACATTTTCTGCATGCAACATTTTCTGCAGTTTTAACATGCAACATTTTCTGCAATGGGATTTTTATCCAAAAATTTAAATTTTCCCATAATTTAAATTGAAATCAAGAAAAATTTTTTGAAACTTTAAACTTATTATGCTTACCTTCAAATGCTTTCCACATTGTTTTTGGTACTTTGCATTCTGATGTGAATAATTGGTAGTTTTACGACGTTCACGTTCACGTTTAAAACGACTTTTTGCAGTACGCATAATTTTATAATAGATGGATATAATAGCACATAATGGAATGTAAAAAGCAGTTGCCGTGCTAAATATCTGTAATTAATTTATGATTTACTTAATATTTCCAAATGCTCAATAAGGTTAATGGTCAATTGGTAAGATCAATGGTCAACAATGTTTCCAAACGGTCAATGGTCAATAGATGTTGTCATTCTATGTTGAGATTCCTCAATTCTTTCACATTTATCAAAATCTGATTGAACTTAAATGGATTAAAATACAAGCATTTCCTTCAGCAATAAATAAAAGTTTCATTTGCTTCTACTGTTTTAAATACCTTTATATCATAAGTTCTTCCGATCTAACATCATATGGCATTTGGGAGATGCATCCTTCTAAATGATTGAAAAATTTTTATTACTTTAGGAAATGCCAAACAAAGGATGAAATTTATAGATTTAAAAAAGAAAAAAAACTACTTTGTATTCATAAACTGTATAATTTACATTGATCAGCAATTACAAAAATTATCCCTTCTCGATTACTGTAATTGTGAATTGTTTGATGTCACAATTAATATCTACAATTTGGTCATTAAATGTTCTGTAATCGCTTTTCGTAAATTAAGAATCAAGTTAATCCCTCATATGCATATGTTATGATAAATGAGACGAAAACATGATTACATCATGACATTTATCAATCAAATAAAATATGGAACTGAAATTCTGAGAATACTTTTTGCATTTATCAATGATGTTAATCTTATCATTTGAAATGATCGATGAGTTTTTAATCTTTTTATTTTTACTAAAGCTATCTTTCTTTGCTTACAAATTAGCTTCTTTAACTTTTCTTCCATCAAAAAAAAAAAAAAAAAGGCAATATTGGTTGAAAAATAGCTATTGAAGAAAAAAAAAACACACATCGTTAGTTTCCATTCAAAATCTTTTCTTATCTATTCTGTCATCTCATTCATGCATCATTTGTATTTATCCTTTCCAACTGTATGTATAATTGGGAAAAAAAGAAAAAAATCAAAAACTTTTTATCATATATGGTATATTTAGTTGTTTAGATGGAAACAAAGTTTGATAAAATTTTGAACTTTGACTTTTCAATTATCTTTCTCATGATAACAAAGTGATTATCCATTATTGATGATAATAAATAAGTTAATGGTTGATAGTTATGGGTTTAATTAGATATTTAAGTGATTATTATTGCATTGATTTAATTAAATGAAACGAATTATCATTTATCAAGAGAGAGAGAGAGAGAGAAACAAGAAAAAATTTACAAATATAATAGGATAGAATGAATATGTTCATTAATGCTTGATGCTAAATTGTATTTCTATTTGAATTAATTAAACCTAATTTGCATATATGAAACGAGTAGGAAGCTTTTAGCGAAATGAAGCCTAATAACTTACCTGATAACTTATTTGTTGACTAATGAGGCACACACGTTGTTCCATAACCCGTCGATAAAAATCACTATCTTTCCAACCAAACATTGGAGCCAATGAAATGAGTAATGATACGAGCCAAATAATACCTAACATGCCAAATATTCGATTTGGTGTACGATTTTGCACATATGACACATCGGTGACACTCCAATAACGATCCAATGCTTGAAAAATGATTAATTTTGATATTTAGAAAAGATAATTTTACAAAAAAAAAAGACATTAAATTTTTACCGATTGCAACTAAATGAAGGATTGAGCTTGTACAGACTAATACATCAATGCTAATCCAAAAATCACATAATACTACACCAAATGTCCATGCACTCATTATTGTTGACCAAGCACCTAATGGTGTCACTATTACACCTACCTGAAAAGTAAAAATATATTAAAGCTTATTTTAAAAGAAATATTTTGAAATGATCATTTGACTAATTCTCATATGCAAATTTCACCATAATTCTAAGAATTAAAACATCAAATATGAGCCGTCTTTAAAAGAGAGGACAACATAATGATTGTTCTAAAATTAGCATTTTGAGTAACATCTATTAAAGGATCAAAGATTAATTAAAAAATTTTTGTTTGATGATAATTATAAATTTTTCTTTTTCTATACAATGATTTCATTTTTTTTCTCCAAAAAGCTAAATTTTTAATGTGAAATGTTGTAAATTTTTTTTTTTTTTTAAAAATTTTAAACTAACTAATAAATCAGCAACAGCAAGCGAAAATATAAGATAGTATTGAGGTCGAGTTTTGAGATCACGTTCGATAAGAATTGCAACAATAACAAATAAATTACCAATAATACATGCCATAATAAGTACAACTAAAAGTGCTCCAATTGTTGCCATCTGTAAATTTATACTAATTTAATAATTTAATTTCATTCAGTTCAGGTTTTTTTTTTTTTTCAATAAGATTGTTACATTGAAAATTATTATTTTGTCAAGTTAATTTATTTTTAAATTTGTTAAATTTTGTATTCCATCGTTTTTTTTCCATTCATTTTATCAATTTTTTAATTTTGATCAAAGATCAAATATATAAGAAATACTTTTAATTGATGAATACAAAACGAATTGATTGTTGTTTCGTTTCAAAAATTACATTAATTATTACTCCAAACTTTCCTTTATAAAGCATATTATTATTCTTTTGCATGAAAAATTTATAAAAAGGGAAAAATATCGAAATATATATATATATATATATAAACAAAATAATTTTTTCATACTGCTGTTTTTAAAAAAAAAAAAAAAAAAATTAGAACTGGAAGGAAGGTAAACAAAAAAAATTATTTACAAATTTTGCAGTATTCAATAACTAAGACAATTGTAAGTAAATATGCAAATTTATTGATATTTTGTTTAAATGAACAAAGATTGAAAATCTTTTTTTCTTTTTTTAATAACTGCAAAACAATGGAAGTATTTAAATACAATTATATTATGGAAGAAAACAAAGATGGAAATTACTATGTTGAGTATTTTACTTTCTGATTTTTAATTAGACTAATTAATCTTAATTAATTTTACGTTTAACATTTGTCAGATATCATTGTGCCTAGTCCTCATTTTTTTAATTTTTTTTTAAA